AAGATTGTTTTCATGTGACGTCATAGTGAATTAGGGCAATTGCTAAAGTAACTGATCTTAACTTCGCATCTAAATTGATGGGAAGTTGGCCTACGAATTGGTAGCCTTTCTTCCAACCCCAATTGACATTTTGCAACGTTTTATATGAACTGACTCAATATATTGGATTGCCGGTCTTCATATTATCTGTACCCATATCTTATATTATCGGTACGCGTATCTTATGTATTCTCGTAAGTAGTTGTTTTCCTTTATTTCGTTTTAAGTAGTTTCAAATCACCTTTATTTAACGATTTCAAGAGATATGAACAAAAATGCTGTTTTCCTGTGTCATGCTATGATAGCTATTCATAATGTTAAAAGGACTGAGGAGTCAGATTCGATCGGTCTGTAATCATACAAGGAATATATCAAATATAGTGGGGACATCTGCTTAATCTTAGACCGCTCAAAGAAACAAATTTCTAAAGGCCGGTTTAGACGGTACGATTTTCGCCTACAACTATCGTATGCAACACGCTCGCGCCATCCTACAACTCGTGTCGTAGCGTGTAATTCAAGCCTACAACTCGCCTACGACAGACGCGAGCGTGTTGTATACGATAGTTGTAGGCGAAAATCGTACCGTCTAAACCGGCCTTTAGGAAATATTTCAAGCGCCATCCCAGACCCGATTGCTAACATTGGGCGTCACGTTTGCATGCCACCTAAAAACTGTACACCAACACCGTGGGGTAGGCCTTATATTTTCCTTTAATATTCAATGCATAGGTTTTATGATTGAATAGACCGATTTCTGCAATTTCCAGAGCCGTTCAACTCAGAGTACAAATCAATGAACCGACTTTCACGGAGTAAATACGCACCCTTCAAGTTTTACTTGAAATCGCACTGTTTTAAGGAACCAATGAATTGCATGCAGAAAACATAGCTTTGCCCAATCAGATTACAGAAAAAGGAAGAGAAATAAAGCATTAGAAAAGTTTTCTGAATGAAAGACAGTTTTTTTGGCTTAAATTTTGAATTCAAATATAGTTTTAAATCTAGTATATTGAAGGAAATCTGTTCAAAATGGATAGGATTATGATGAGTGGCAATTGAACTTCCTGTGTCTTCATTGTCATCTATCGTTGAAGAAACCCACTTTTTGGCGAAAGAAACTGTCCAGGCCAAGGGCGGCTCCAGGGGGTGGTGAAGGGGATCGATGATGTTAAGTCATCCACCCTTTTATTCAAATTTCCCATTATTATCCTTAGTAAACCAACCCCTTTGGCTCGCATTCCTGGTAAAACCTTTGTGATATAGTCACCCCTCGTCTAAAATTTCTGGATCCGCCACTACTACCTTGTAGGAAATTACTTTCAATGGCAATGATTAGAGTTACACTCTGTTGCCTTCAAACTATTGTTTTTCAAGTAGAGGCATTTGGATCAATACAATAAACTACCCTTCTCAAACTACACTATAGCTCTATGCCTCTGAAGACGAAGAGAAGGAAACTGGAACGACGATGGAGAGCACGATTATATTTTTGAGGATTAAAGATTAACATTTTTGATTTAATCTAAAATCTCCCAGTTATTTGATTACCGCTCGTTGAAATGCTAGTACGTCGGCGAATCGAACCAGACATGAAACTGCGGGTCGCACTTGAACGATAATAGTGGTAATTTAATAGTGGTTAAACTATTTTTTTAAAATGAACATTTTAAGAGGTGACTGACTGACTACTTTTCAACATTCATTTTGAGCCGCACGATGTGTGCACGCTCAAAAACCACTGAATAATCTTCACGATTTTATTGAAGAATCGCCCCATGTAATAGTCCACGAAATTTTAGGCTTTGGAATCCTGAATCCAGCACTCTGGAATCCGGTATCTAGGCCTTGGAATCCGAAATCCAGTTTATAATGGAATCCCTAATGCAGCCTTTTGGAATCCGGAATCCGCTACTTTGAAAGTATATACTCAAATGCTATCGCCTCGGCCTAGACTGAACCGATGTAGCCCCTCCCCCACTGTGTAATATCTCCACCAAGAATATCTGTCATCAGATGCTGATTTAATTGATAGACGATTCTACTTATACAGGCAAGTATATCACTAATATAATTTTTAAAGAAAGTATCTGAAAATTAACGATATAGAATCCGGAATCCGCAATACAAAAGTTTTGGAATCCGGAATCCAGACCCTTGGAATCCGTAAACCAGAGTCTCGGAATCTCGGAATCCAGCGCTTAGAATCCGGAATCCACCATAAGTCCGGATTACATGGGGCGAGAAGAACATACATATGTTTTGAACTTCAAGAGGTCAAAACCCTCAAATTTTGCACTGGACTCTATACTTTTTATGAGCTTATTCGAAAAAACTCCTAAACATCTAGGTTATATTATATATATATATATATATTAAATTGATTTTTCTGTATTACTTTAGAAGAATACACTAGCCGTCATTTGTGCAATCTAAGAATCTGCAAAGAACTATACTCTGATCACTTCCGAAAACCAGCTCCCCATTTATTTGTTATTTTGTCGAGCGTTTTTAACATGAGCCTCGGAAGATTGGGCGACCACTTCCCACGTTATCGACTTTAAATAAATTGTTATTTTTCAACGCCGCCATAATTGTAGCCGTGGTGTAGAATACAACGATATTTTATTTAACGTTGTAATTTTAGCTATATTAACTAACCCTTCCGTTTTCTTTAGCGACTACCGAGCGGAATCTGGTAAATAAATAAGAACTATTAAAATGCAGCAGCATTGATTATGACACAAAAAATTCCTAAAACTTGTCATCCTTCAATTTAACATGCATAAGCCAAAATAAATTCCCATTTTCTTTTATTTCATCGTTTAATTACAACTCAAAATCACTTTTTATGATATCTTAAAATATGTTGCTTTAGAGTAACCTGCCAAGTAAATGCCTTGTTACAGTATGTACACTTGTATGGTTTGACTCCTGTATGGATTCGTTCATGTTTCTTTAGATTACCTTGTCCTGTAAATGCCTTGTTACAGTATGTACACTTGTATGGTTTGACACCTGTATGGATTCGCTCATGATCCTTTAGATGACCTTGTCGTGCAAATGCCTTATCACAGTATGTACACTTGTATGGTTTGACTCCTGTATGGATTCGTTCATGTTTCTTTAGATCACCTTGTTGTATAAATGCCTTGTTACAGTATGTACACTTGTATGGTTTGACACCTGTATGGATTCGCTCATGATCCTTTAGATGACCTTGTTGTATAAATGCCTTATCACAGTATGTACACTTTTATGGTTTATATCCTGAGTAGGTTCGTAAGTGCCATAAAAAAGCTTGTTTATTTTTCCATGTCTTTTTGCATACAGGGCAAACAAAGTGGGTACTGGGATCACAGTGAACAGCAAACAAATGACTATCATATTCTTCAGCTGTTTGACATTTAGTATCACACAAAACACACTTTATTTCCTTGTTTTGATCCACGCATAAACATCCATTGTTAGCGTGTCGCTCTAGCATATTTGAGTAAGGAAACTTTTTCCTGCAAGTTTTGCATTGAAGAGATTCTGAAAAAAATTTGTAAAAAATACATATAGTTTAATTCTTTAGGGGATTTCCGGGACCTAGCCCAATTTGTGAGTCCCAGCAAAATAATATTAGATGATATCAAGAATGTATCTTGTTAATATTTGGATTATTGATCTGACTCATTCACTGTCTACAAAAGATGAAAGCTCGATCTTTAGATTTCCGCTATGCTTATAATAATAATAATAATAATAATAATAATAATAATAATAATAATAATAATAATAAT